TATGTGGCCCTGAAAAGGGCCGTTTGCATCCTTGTGTGTGTGTGTGTGTGTGTGAGTGCGTGCGCGCGTGCGCGCGTGTGCACGCGCGCGTGTGTATGTGTGAGGGTGTGCGTGTGTGTGTGTGTGTGTGTGTGGGTGTACGTGATTTCATCCGGCCGTTCAAGGCAAGATATTGATCAAGACGTGTCAAGTCTGCGTGATCTATTTTATGGGCTCAATTGATTGCCCATTGACCTCAAAACAAACCCTACAGTATTTAACGTAAAATTCATGCAAAAGTGACTACCATTTTTTAACGACATATTCGAATAGGTCGTACGTCATTCCATTTGATGACAAGAAAAAATACTTCGACCTTGACATAACCTTCAAATTTAACCTCAAGATCAAGGTCAAGGTCACCATTCGACGCCCCCCTTTGATCCTTGCAACTATTATGTTTTGCGCATCTGCATACAATAGTCTTACAGCGTATTCGATTTACTGACTCGACCCGACTCCGAGTCAACAGTCTGTTCTTTTCAGCTGCATTTCTTACACAATTTAGCTCTTCTTTTGTGCAGCTAAACAGAACAGACTGTTGACTCGGAGTCGGATCGAGTCAGTAAATCGAATATGCTATTAATCACCGCTCCATTCGTTTGACCTTGTAATGTTGTTAGAGGAAATTTTGGATCAAACATGACCACGTGTTGGAATGTGAAATTTCCCGCTCTTTCAATATCCCGAATAAAAAATTGGGGTTTCCATTTAAAAATCGCGATTAGATCCTGAAATAACCTTAAAATTTGATGTCAAGGTCAAGGTCAAGGTCACCGATGGACGGCCCCCTTCAACCTTAGTAACTTTTGTCTTAAACATTTTTTGATAAAACCATCCCCCTCGAAGTTATTTCGACCGATAGATTAAAATGGGACATCCTGTATATCTATATTTTTAATTGCCATACAAACGTTATTTCGTTATACTTAATATTTCATCGCTATTACTTTACTAACTTTGTCACAAAAAATAATTCTTTACAACAGGTTAATAAATTGTAAAATTATTAACAAACAATACATTTTCAATATTCACTATTAGCTTTATTTTATTCATAAGTTTTACAAGTATACCAAAAAGATAATAAAAAACATTTGAACATTATTGATTTTTAATTTTATATGTAAAGCAATATGTACATATAAAGTTTGTATCATACTTAAGGCTTCTGAGTAGTCGCCGCGGTCATGTTGGAATCGTAACGTCAGAAACGAGAAAATGATCAATATATAACATCAAATTTGTTATTCTTATAAAATAAACAGCAATACTGAACGATCAACATAACATAAAATTTCTTATTTTTATGTTATCAACTCAAATAAACGATATTATTACATTGTTATACTAAATGATATTAATATTATAGGTATATATCACACACAGATCCACTTTTTTATAATATTATAACTTATCTATTAGGTAAAACTAAAAAGAAAATTCTTATTGTCTCTCAATATAAGATTAGGAACTGTGATAAATATTAAAATTTAATCATTTTACTTAATAACCAACGTAGGTAACATAAAACTTGTTATTTTTATATACTAGTACAATTTTAATAATTTTTGTATTAAATTCTAATCATATATTTTATCGCATATTATCACTTCTTATTCTTTCTTAAAATTTGTCTATTAATTTTAGCATTATGTTTTTCATAGTATTAATAGCTTTTTCTGATTGATTCAACATTTCTTGGTGCCTCCTTTCACGTGCTTCTTCTCTTTCCTTAGCGGTATATTGCAAAACTGTTTTCAATTCATCAAAATCTCTTTGTCTTCGTGGTTTTTTTGTTATTCTTGTTTCTTCCTCAACATCTAGATCAGTATTACAGAGCAAATCATAATTTTCTGAATCAGAATTGCAATTTACAGTACTATTTATTGATAAAGGTCGTTTTCTTAGATTAGGTGCAACTGAGACTGGTGTTATGCATGGTTTGTCACTAAGAATATCGTCTATATCATTAAAAAATTTACAAGTTTTTGGGTTATTTCCAGAAGTATTGTTATGATCTTTTACTTTTACATATGTTTTACGTAAATCTTTCCACTTATTTTCACATTGTGTAGCACTATAGCGCCAATTATTATTCGCTTTCCATAACTTTTCTGATATTTCTTTCCATACTGTATCCTTTCGAAACTTCGAGCTTTTAAATTTTGATTATGCTCTTTCCACAAACGTATTAACATTTTAATAGCATTATCGTCTTTCCATGAAGCAATTCCTAAAGTATAATATTAAATATAATAGACGAAATAATATTTGCAGGACTGTGTTAATATTTGAAATACAAAAAAATACATATGTATAGGGCATGTAAGATTCAATTAATGATAAACTAAAAAAATTAATGTGTATTTTAAAAAATTAATAAAACATCAAATACATAATATTATAGATCTCCATTACACGGCACGTTTTATGCCGAAGTTATAACGGCCGCTTTATGTCGATGTTATGAAACTGGTTAATCATAGCTATTCCTCTGAAGAATGGAATGATTGTAACTGGCCACTTTCATAACATCGATGTTATAATTTCGGCGTAAATCGAAGTGTGTACCATGTAAACGTAGTAATGGATCTACTACATGTTTCGGCTTTATATTAAGCCCTCTCAGATATAAAAAAAATTACAAAATTATGCAGAAAATTAACATTCATCGGCATTACATATAAATCAGCGTATATTTAGCTTTTTTGCGTGATTTAATAATTTTTTTATATCTGAAGAGGGCTTAATATAAAGCCGAAACATGTAGTAGGCCTATAATATTATTTATTTGTTTCTTCTTTAATTTTTTAAAATACACATTAATTTATTCTTTAGTTTATCATTATTTGACTCTTATATGCCCTATACATATGTATTTTTTTGTATTAAATATAATGTAAAAAAAAATATACACTACGCAAAAAAATTAAAGGATCACTTAAGTCCATCTCAAAAATAGGTCAAAATTCAGAAGAATGTAACTTCGTAAAAAATGATCATAACGAGATTTTTAAAAAAGCATTTTAAAGCTTGAAATCTCTACTTTCGAAATCGGTTATTAATATTTCGATCTGATTGATTTTTTACGTAGCTATACGAACAGAAATGGGTATCCGTCAAATCTGAAAATTTTATACAAATTTTACAAAAGTCTATGGCATAAACTAAAAATCGCACACAAATGAGGTTCTAAACAGTCGAAAGAGTGAATCTTTACCTTCAATTTGCTTTTTTATGAAACGTTGTACGATTTTTTTTCGACGAGTTACTCGACATTGAATAAAAAGGTTCATTTTTGCTTCAATGTCGAGTAACTCGTCGAAAAAAAATCGTACAACGTTTCATAAAAAAGCAAATTGAAGGTAAAGATTCACTCTTTCGACTGTTTAGAACCTCATTTGTGTGCGATTTTTAGTTTATGCCATAGACTTTTGTAAAATTTGTATAAAATTTTCAGATTTGACGGATACCCATTTCTGTTCGTATAGCTACGTAAAAAATCAATCAGATCGAAATATTAATAACCGATTTCGAAAGTAGAGATTTCAAGCTTTAAAATGCTTTTTTAAAAATCTCGTTATGATCATTTTTTACGAAGTTACATTCTTCTGAA